TTTCCCATAGATAGTAAGCGCTATTGCTGACAAAATTTTTATTTTCTAAAACGCATCGTGAATACGTCTCTTGTTACAGCTGTAAGATAATAAATTTTCTTGTTACAATGTTATGAAACCACATTATTTTAATTTTCTTATTAGTAAATGACGTATTTGATTGCAACTCGTACAATTCGTAGATTATCTTACATGTATGGGTCACCCTAGAGTGTAGAAATTACAAAGGAAGAAATACTGTATGCACTAAAGAACACCAGAAACGGAAAAAGCCCGGGGCCAGCTCAACTGCCTATTGATATTCTTAAAATAATAGAAAATGAGTACATTGATGTCCTCTTAAAACTTTTTAATAAAATTGATCAATCGGGTGACATACCCAACGAATGGTTGACCTCAACATTCATTTGTCTCCCAAAAAAGAAAAATGCTAGAGAATGCATCGAGCACCGTACAATAAGCCTGATGTCTCACACACTTAAATTGTTTTTAAAGATCATTTATAAACGAATTTACAAAACACTTGATATGGATATTGAAGAAACACAATTTGGATTCCGTAATGGCGTAGGTACCCGTGAAACTCTCTTTGCATTCAACGGACTAATCCAGAGATGCTTGGATGTGAACCAAGATATGTACGTCTGTTTCATAGACTACAACAAAGCTTTCGACAAAGTCCACCACAAAGAGCTAATAGACATCCTAAAAGCAAAACAACTACAACACAATGACCTTCGAATTATAACAAATCTATATTATAAACAGCAGGCACATGTACGCATTAATGAACACACATCAGAAGAGTTCGAAGCTAAAAGAGGAGTGCGACAGGGGTGTGTATTGTCACCACTACTATTCAATGCATACTCTGAAGAAATTATGAAAAGAGCTCTTGAGGGAGAAACAGCAGGAATCAAGGTCATTGGAACACCAATTAACAACATTAGATATGCGGCCGATACTATACTATCATAATAGCAGACAACCTCCAAAAGCTCCAAAATGAACAAGACAGTTGAGTATGGAGAAGAATATGGATTATCAATAAACACCAAGAAAACAAAATTTATGAGGATATCAAAAACCCAAAATAATGGTGAAAGCCTGACAATTAACGGTAGTGCTTTAGAACAAGTTGAAAACTACCACTATCTTGGCACAATAATTAATCACACAAACGATTACTCCAAAGAAATCAAAGTTCGAATAGAGAAAGCACGTACAAACTTTAATAAAATGAGAAAAGTACTTTGTGCAAGAGAACTAAAATTGGACTTGAGAGTTGGGCTGGCAAGGTGTTATATTTCTCTCGACTCTGCTTTATAGGATGGAAGCATGGACACTTAACGCGTCGACTGCTAAAAAGTTGGAAGCATTTGAAATGTGGGTGTATAGAAGAATCCTGAAGATATCATGGACCGAGCACGTGACAAACAACGAAGTCATGAGAAGAATCAACAAAATAATGGAAGTATTGGAAACCGTCAAGACACGAAAGCTGCAATACCTGGGGCATGTTATGCGTAATGAGAGATACAACCTACTTCAATTGATTATACAAGGGAAAATCCAGGGCACGAGGAGTGTAGGAAGAAGAAGAATCTCATGGTTGCGTAACTTAAGGGAATGGTACGGATGCACATCGATTGAACTATTCAGAGCAGCAGCATCTAAGATCAGAATAGCCATGATGATTGCCAACCTCCGTCGTGGAGATGGCACGTGAAGAAGAAGATGGGTCACCCTCCTTAACTTCTTGTTATAGTACAACTGTTAAAATCATTGGGTATTGAACTGGATTATAGTACGACAGAAGGAGTCTCTCTACGACAATGCCTGGTCGTGCAAAAATAACAAAATGATTTTGCTTAGCCAATCTATTGATAAGTCTGTATTATTCAAGCGTTGCCCAATTTGTACCTTACTGGGAAAATCATCAATCTTTTTAAGCATTCTTAAGATAGATTTTTCACATATTTTCATTTTGAGAGATGTTTTCACATATTTACAATGACTAATGAAAAAATGAGTACAAATTGTAAGATTGGCGAATGGATTTAGAGTCCTCAGTCATTTAAATACAACAAGCAACAACAACACTCTGGATTTAAAATACTAATACTGATGCTGCCATCCAGACCTGTTTTGGAATTGTGTCATCTACCATCTTATTATATTTATATTTATAGTTTTTAAGATTTTCTTCTTGACTGTCACATTTTTTTTTTTGTTTTTTTTTTTTGTTTAATAAAACTCCAACAGGAATCTTATGACTATTGCTATCTGATCATTCACTATGATCAATAAGCAAGTTAGTTCTATATATAAATATTACAAGAAACTTATCTAAGGTTATATTCAGCAATATTCCTTAGGCTCTAATACATTATAGTACTACTAGCTAACGTGTACACTTTAGCCGCACTTTACTCTGCTTTTTCACTTTCACTCACTTATAGCACTAAATCAAACGGCTTCGTTCTCTTTAGTCTTCTTATCTGGTTGGCGTTGTCTAGGAGTTTGATGGCCTCGACGTTCACGTGGTTGGAGAGCCTCTGTTCATGACTCTCGGCAAACTTACTTATTGTCTGGATAACTGTATCCATCTGGAGGTCTCGATGAAGATCACAGTTTCTAAAGTACCATGGAGCGTTAACGATGTTCCTTAATACTTTATTCTGATATCGTTGTATATGTTGGATGTTGCTTTCTTTTGTACAGCCCCATAGCTGTATTCCGTATGTCCATATCGGTTTAAGGACTTGCTTATATAATAGCAATTTGTTGTAATAGACAGAGTGGATTTTTTCCCATCAACCAGTACATCTTTCTGAACTTAATTTCTAATTCCTTCTTTTTTTTCTTAACATGTGCTTTCCAACGTAGCTTGGAATCTAACGTCATACCCAAATATTTTGCCGTATTTGCATAAGGTATTTGGTTTTTATTTATATGTACTGGGATATGTTGTTCTCTTTTGTTAGTAAAATTGACATGAACAGATTTTGTTTCATTCAATTTGATACGCCATCGGCTGGTCCAGATGTTAATTTGTTCAACAGAGTTCTGTAACATGGTAGCTGCATCCTCGTGGTTTTGTCCGACTGCTAGTATGCATGTGTCGTCTGCAAATGTCGCAATTGTGTTAGGTTCTAATGATGGAATATCGCTGGTATAGAGCAGGTATAGCACTGGCCCCAGGACTGACTGTCACATGACTTTTCGAAATCTTTGCAGCAGGGATGAAAGTTGTAGTATTTCGTAAAACAATTTTGACATTTCCTTAATAATATTTTTTCTGTCAGCTATTTTTATAAGTAATTGCTTTTGTAATATGTTTAGAGAGCATCTTCTTTAAAAATTATTTTTTCTTCATCATTCATCATTCCCGATGTTGGCGAATTATGAGGGTTTAAAATTTTTTGAGTATTATCGTTCTTATTTCTTATTGAATCCTCTATATATCCTTCGGCAACCGTGCTTGATTTCCAGCCCCCATGTCGTTTGAGGCATTCTAGATTTCCGCCTCCATCGATTAAAAGTGTTGCTGAAGTTCTTCGTAAAGAGTGACCCGTGTATGCGCTTGCATCGTTTAAATTTAAATAACTAGCTACTTTTTGGGCTACTGCGCTGATCGAATGTATTCCCATGACGCTTCGGTAACACTTTCCATTTTGGTACTTGATAAAAAATCGGTTTTCTGTGAAATTTTCAGGCCGCAGTGATCCATACTTTTTATACAGTTTAATGTAGTTTTGACCAATTATTGTAAAAGATCTAATTTGTCGTGTTTTACTGTCTGGGATTTTGATAATTATTACATTTTCTTTATCCTCAATGTCCACAGTCTTCATTTTTACCATTTCGTCGCATCGACAGGCGCCGGTAACCCCAATTAACAAAACAATCTGAAATATTTTTATAATTTAGTAGAGTATACTACATGCTTTGCAATATAATTTTTTTTACCTTTAATCCTAAATATAACTTATCTGGCGCTTCAAACAAAAATGTATTAAACTCGCTTTAGTGAAAACTTTAGACTTCTTTGCAGTATATCCTTCGCTTGTTTTTTTTCAGAAAGGCACTTAACTTTAAAAATTTGCTTATATCCACATTTTTTCTAATAACTAACTCGGATTTTATCATAGAGTATCGTGACCACATTGAAGAAGATTTCCATTTATTTTCATTTTCCATTATATTAAAATATGCCAGTAAAACGTCTTCGGTAACTTGCCGTACTCCTCTTGTATCGCACCACTCTTGGAAGTGCTTGTACGCTAACCGATACTTTATTCCGGACTTGGAGGGCCCCAAACGTGCTACTGCATCATTAGCCGCGGACTCAATTTCGTTTAGGTTTTCCATTTTCGCACTAAATTTGCGCTTGCGGTTGCAACAACAATAAGCTTTCTTTAATAATTGCAAACAACTGTAACCAGGGAGACGCAAATCCCACGGACGACTTAATTATTTTAAATTTCTAACATCTAGACGACTTTGACAGCTGTCACAGTTTTTCGAGTAAAAATAGCGTATGAATTGTACTATTTATGGTTGAAAATTGCTACGTTTGAAGAAAAAATAGTATACTTTATTCGGCAAAGAAGCGACTTTTCTTGACTTGTCCTCTATTGCGCGCCTCACTTCGTTCGGCGCGTAATATCGGGCGCGTCAAGAAAAGTCATGCTTCTCCGCCTCATAAAGTAATATACTATTACACCGCGGTTATTCAATATCAACTTGTTTATAAACGCCAACTCTTCTCGAATTGTTTGCAAGATACTTTTATTTTGTATGCAATTATCGTAGTTTTTTAGTGCACAATTTATATCCGCTATTACATTTTACGCCTTAAATTATTTAAGAATTAAGTAAATCTACTATAAATAATATTCTTCGGTAAAACAATAATCCTAAAATTATTTCTAGGATGTGGGTACCGACATGTTCAATACTTACTGCTGTTTGTGGGTTGTACTGTAGCCTATGGAATGAGAAGTGTTCTTAACGTAGCCGTTATTGCCATTATAAATCCAGACGACAAAAATAAAGATTATCCGGTAAGAATATTTAAAAACATTTAAAATGTTTATTGATTTCTTAGTTTTATCTAAACGGAAAACCAGATATTAAAATATAGCGATTTGTAGAAAAATTTCAGGAATCTGTTGACTTTATGTCTAAAAAGTTTGATCAACTAGTTTCTGAAAATCGAAGTTTTCTGGCTGAAATGAAAGCGTTAAAAAATGAAAATGTGCAGCTAAACTCCAAAGTCAAAATAGCTGAAGAAAAAGTGCTGATTCTGTGGTTTTGGAGATTGCTAACGGTTTGTTACAGTGTAATATTCAAGTAATAGACAATAAAGAATGTACAAGGAAGTTGAGGGTAGCTGTGGCTGTTACCACCCTATCTTCTTCTTGATGTGCCTATCCGTTACGAATGTTGACGATCATCATAGCAATCTTTATCTTATCTGCAGCAGCGCGGAAAAGCTGCACAGATGTTGTATTGAAACCATATTCTGAGGTTCTTTAACCAAGATGTTCTTCTTCTTCCTGGACCTCGCTTTCCAAATATTTTTCCTTGCAGGATGGCTTGAAGGAGAGCATATCTGGATTCATTTCGCATAATATGTCCAAAGAATTGTAACTTTTGAGATTAAATTGTGGTCAGTACCTCTCGATTCTTATTCATTCATCCGAGGACCTCCTCATTTGTGACTCGGTCAGTCCACGGGATATTAAGTATTCTCCGATATAGCCACATCTCAAATGCTTCCAATTTTTTGCACACATCTTCGTTCAAGGTCCACGATTCAACACCATAAACAAGGACAGAGAAGACGTAGCATCGCAGCATTCTTACTTTTGTATCAAGAGAAAGGTTGTGACTCTTGAAGAAGGTCCCCATCCGATTGAAGGTGGATCTAGCTTTTGCGATGCGTGCTCTAATCTCCTGGTTGTTGGTCCATTCTTCATTTATTATGGTGCCGAGGAGGTAGTTGTAGTGCGTCACTCTTTCTACAGGAGATTGGTTGACGTAGAGTTGACCTTCTGTTATCCTTTTCTTGCTAATTATCATAAGCTTTGTCTTCTTAACGTTTATATTGAGTCGATATTGTTGACTGTAATACGTGATTTTGTTCATAAGAACTTGTAGGTCTTCTAAGATGTCCGCAAATACTATGGTATCATCTGCATATCTGATGTTGTTTAGCCGGTAACCATTTAGTAGAATACCTTTTTCAGTTTCGTGCAAAGCTTCAATAAATATTCTTTCAGAGTACAGATTGAAGATTAGAGGAGACAAAATACAGCCTTGCCTCACTCCACGCATGATTTTCACATAGTCAGTGTTTCACCTTCAACTCTGAGATTTGCTGTCTGATTCCAGTAAAGATTTCTAATTATTTTCAGATCTTGATTGTTAATTCCTGCTTCTTTTAGTATTTGCATCATCTTGACGTGCTTTACTCGATCAAACGCTTTCTCGTAATCAACCAGACATGCGTATAGGTTGATGTCTCTGCATCTCTGGAATAAGACTTGTACTGAGAACAAAGCCTCTTTAGTACCAACAGCATTTGTGAACCCGAACTGGTTGGGGGAAATTTGACTTTCACAGAGCTTGTACATTCTCTTACGAATTATCTTTAGGAACAATTTTAGGAGATGACTCATGAGGCTTATAGTACGGTAATCTTCGCATTTTTTGGTTCCTGGTTTTTTTGGAAGTGCAATAAACTCAGATTTCAGCCATTCTGTTGGTATTTCTCCAGAGGTGTATATTTTGTTGAATATCTTTGCGATTATTGCTATTGATTCTGTAATATTCTTGGTCCATCATCTACCTCTTCTTCTAGCTTAAAGGTGTTATCTCTTTGGTCTTCAAATAGTTTTTCTAGATATTCTTTCCACGTTCTTATTTTACTCTGTTTGTCCAAGATGATGTATCCGTCAGAATCAGTTATATTTCCTTTCTGCTTTCGTCTTAGTCCTCCTGTGAGTTCTTGAACTTTCCTATGTACAATGTGACTATCGTACTTTGACTGCAGAGTCTCAATTTCTTCGCATCTTTCCCTTGCTTCTTTTTCTTTTGCTTCTCTGATTTTCGTTTTTATTAATATATTTATGGTTTTATATTTGTCTGGGTTATTTTTGGCTTCTCTTCTCTCATCCATTAGTTTCAGGATCTAATCTGTCATCCATGATTTTTTCTTCATTAATCAATCTGTCTTTAAGTGTTTATCCTTTACATTTTGCACTATTTCTGTAATTTGTTTGATCGTTTGTTCTTCGTTCGATTCGTCTCTAATTGCAATCACTTGCTCGTTTAACGTGGCTTGGACTCTCATCTTCGTATCAAGGTCTTTCAGCATGCGTAGGTCGTATGATTGTGCTTTTCTTTTCTGCACTGTTTTGAGTTTGACTCGCAATACTCCCACCAGTGGAACGTGATCTGTCTCCAAGTCTGCTCCAAGATAAGTCTTGATAGATGTAAAGCTGTTTCGGAATCTTTGGTCAGTGGTCCATAGGGAACCACTCTATGGACAGGCACAATTGTGTAGTGGGATCGGGAAACCACAGAGATCAACAACCGATCACTCTCTGTCCGTGTCTATTTTTATTTAAAAAGAGAGTTTATTTTTGGAATGTCTGACGAATAATAGCATCATAGATAAGCATGGTTTGTTAAATATATTTAAAAATTTAAACTTAAGACTAAAATTTATACTTAGAGAGGAGAGCCTCTCGAGTAGTCTGTAAGTAATGTTCAATAGTTGATGTATTAGGGAGGGCGGTATAGTATTGGAGTTTGTAGTTATTTTGTAATTTGATGTAGTTTATGCAAAATACTTTTTTCCAAAACTAGCATTCTTTGCCTTAGCTTTAGACTGCGCAACGAGTGGATATTTGATCTGTACTCAATAAGGGGCCGTATATATGCTTACGTCCGCCTAAACTCCGAAGGAGTTAAGTAGACCGGCTTTTTGTTTATTATCCTATCATGGATAGCTACTACATGCTGTAGTAGTGTAGGGTTTTGGGAAACACTGCACCTAGGTACACATCTAGTCTCTGAAGTGTAGTCGGTGCCCCAGAGTCTGAGGACAATTTCTTTTTAAGAAACTTGCAGATTTTTTAGAACCCGCTAATATTTGGATATTTAATAAATGTAAATTTGACATAAGTCAGGTAAATTTGGCCGTACTTTTGGATGACATTCGAGTCTCATGATATTTTAACGAGAACAATGTCCTGTTATACATGGAGTATAGTATGGATGTTAGAATAGAACTCCTGAAGTGAATGGTATGGAGAGTTAGTTTCTAACGCTACAGTTACTTTCAAATGCTAGTTATTGTGTGTCTTAATCATTTTATTTTAGAGACAACCTTTTAATTTTTGTAGACATACCCTGAATGGAAACCAAAGAAGAACCTGATGTTATCCTCTTTTTTCTGGGGCTACATCTGTCTACAAATTGGAGCCGGCCAGCTAGCGAAAAACTACGGTCCCAAACGATTTTTATGCTGTGCCATCTTTATTACATCGTTGTTTACTATACTAACGCCAGTACTAGGAGGAGTACTAGGTTATGGTGGAGTTATACTATGCAGAATTGTACAAGGCCTTTCGCAAGGGTTTCTGGTACCTTCACTACACAATTTGTTAAGTCAATGGGCACCGGTAACTGAGAGAGCGACATGGGGAAGTGCTGTATATGCTGGTTAGTATGAATATTATTGAAAAATAATGTATATAATATTTATTGTAGCTCTTGAAAATAATTAAAATAATTATAACCACAAGTAAAAGCTCGAGTAAATAGTGTTATACAGCCCCTTTTATTAACTTTAAAACAACCAAACTTAATTTTACGTATAGTCTTCTGGAAATTTTTCCAGTCAGTATTTTTGTTAACAAGTCTAGGGGGGCTTTCTTTTTTAATAACAGTATCAATGACATGTCTTTTCGGACTGTAAACCGCTGTGACGATTACCTCATAGTTTTTACATTTATGGTGTGATGTGGCCTGAAATTTTTTAGTTCTGTATCCCATATCCTGATAGTACATAATATTTAGTTTGATTATTACTGCACTACCTCCTTTGACTGCATGATCAGGGTGAGTAGTATGATACATTTTATAACCCCTAAATCTAATATATGACTCATTAGTAAAATGGCTTTCAGAAATCAGGAATATGTCTATTTTTTCTATATCTAGTATCGCTTATAGTTCTTGTAATTGTTTCAAGATGCCATTTGCATTCCATTCTACTATTCGTAAACTACCTACCATTACCAAGTCTTTTAGGTGTAGCTCCTTTGGTACTATATTCTATTTTTGTTATACGCTGGTCCAGGTTACTTAATCTCTCTAATATTTTCAGTAGTGTTTGTTCTATTTTCAGATCTTTTTGACTACTATAGTTTTCTTCGTTACTATTATCAGTAACATACATCATAGTAAGAAGGATGCCCTTCTTCTCAGTGGACACATTTAGGTTTTGCGTCCTTGGATTTCTCACATTTTACTGTTAGGTGTTTTCCTGTGCAGCGGACATAACTTGGTTTTTTCGCACAGTAACCTTGTGCGTGTCCATATGCCTGACATCTCTTACATTAAGGTAGTAATTTTGATTTTCTTAGCGGAAATATTTGTACTTTTACGCTCATGATATCTGAGATCTCATAGATTCTATTTATATTTTCGTCATTTCTGAATACTAACATAAACATACATATTTAGTGGTTGCTTTGTTTTGTACTTTAATTTCGGTATGACATCTATTATCTTGAATCTTTTATTACTTAAATCGTTCATGATCGAATCTTTACTGGCTGAATGATGTAACTTATTGACCATAACTTAAACGGGTCGGCTTTGCTTATTTTCATACGTATGCCATGGATAATTTACTTCACTAAGTCTGACTAATTCATGAAATTGGCTAAATTCGGCAATACTCTCCACAATTATTGAGGTGGGATTTGTGTTTTTCTAGTTTTTTTCTCTTTGTTGGACATATAACTCTTTTTGTGGTTGGGTCAATGATGTATCCATTTTGCGTTTTTTGAAGTTTTTGACACTTATCCACTCTGTCTCCTCAGCTAACGTCAGTATGAAATTCCTCATTCTTAGGTTCTTTCTTTTTGGACAAGTTTTTCTCTAGATCTGCAAATTTTAATTGCAAGCTTTTATTTATTTTTTGTAAGTTATCAAACTGGAGTTGAAGCTGATTTACTCTATCCGTAACATAAATCTTCTCCATTTTCGTCTGTTTCCATGCCGTGTTCAGTATCTGTTCATTCTGGGACCCTGCATAAGTTTCCTAAAAGAGGGTACTAATTTGTTGTATTAACAGTACCTCGTTAGGTGTTTGCGGACCCGCATTTTGTTGGATCATTTTAGCGAGAACCAACAATAATAGCAGTCACTAGGTGTCCTTCATTATTTCCCACCAAGCGCCCGGACTATAAACAATTTAACAGTTTTTTCAACTTATCAGTCTTACAAATCAGTTATCTATTTTCGACTTAATTATCAAATGATAATTAGCAGACACGGAAACATCCAACCTTTTATGATATGAGGTTTAATGAATACTATATATATATATATAATATATATATATATATATATATATATATATATATATATATATATATATATATATATATATATATATATATATATATATTAAGGATCACTCAGACGAGTGGTGGGTTCTTATATCGGTCTCAAGGTGAAGAAATAAAAGACAAAGTTGATAGGCTACTTTATCTATTTTGAAGACGTTTCGCTTTCGTATTTTGAAAGCATCATCAGTTCATCTAAAAATTACAATATGAGAACCACACAATCATGGAAACGATGTTATAATTGTTACCTTAAAAAGACATGTAGCAGGTCTTTTATTTTATTAACTCCCAGCAGTGATAGCTGATATCTCTTCTTTCAGCAATTAGTTTGTTGTCGGTGTACAATGATAGATTTTTGTCTAATTTGATTCATTACGGTCTACGGAGAACCACTAAGAGATTTGAATAGTCGACATGTGGATGTGGAATAAAAGGATTGCTAACAATACATTTTATTGGGGACCGCTTTGTTAAACACTTTTTGATATTATACAAGCCGATATTTTTCAGAAACTGAGAATCATTATTTCGTTTATTACCTTAAGAGCGAAAATCGTGCTCGAAGTCTACATATAAAATCTTTATCTTCAGTTTGAGAACCATTTTCATGACGCGACGGTTTTAATAGAGTATTGTTAATATGACAGTTAATGAGAAATAAGTCGAATCAAATAAATACGTATTGCGTGCGCTATTTCACAGTCGTCGAAATTTCGGTTCTATTATTTCTGCGAATACCGTACTCTCGACCCACCGGTAGATCGCTATGGAGAAATTAATAGTGTGTGTTCCATCAGTGTACTGTGTTATTATACTATAAGGTGTCATTCTTAACGTGTTCAGCAATTATAAACGTTTCAAAATTATATTTCAAAACTTAACAGAATTAAATTCAAAACTTAACAGAATTAAAAATAATATTTTTAGGTCAAGCTTTAGGAAATGTGTTTTCGATGCCCATTACAGGCATAATTTGTAATTCCAAATTAGGATGGCCAGTAGCCTTTTACACGTATGGTGCCTTAGGAATTTGTTGGTGTATCTTATGGATACTTTTAGGAGCGGATAGTCCATCCAAGCATAAAAGTATATCTAGAGATGAGAAAGATTTTATAGAATCATCATTAATGAAGGAAGAAGATATCTCGGTAAGTCAACGGATGATTTTCCAATAACAGCTTTACTACATAATTTTTATTTTTTTTTTATTAAAAAATTACAGTTTATACATTTTAATAAATTAATAGGTATAGGAAAAAAAGTAATTTACGTAAAATAAGTATACTTTGTCAAAAGAATACTCATAAAATAAATAATTTTCATGAAAATAACTGCAACAGTCGTTAGTCTTATTAAAACATAAGCTTATATAGCATTATTTTTTAACATATCAATCCCTTCTTCATCTTCTCCAAGTGTGATCTAGTCTCCTATCATACAAAGCGTTTATTCTCATAGGTATATGACTGATGATTAGTCATATATTTTATTTTTTGAGCAGCGTTTTTGTTATCCATTATTCTGCACATTCAATGGCGGAGACAGTAGAAGACCTGCGAGCCATTTTAAACAAGGAAGTCACAGCTAGTGAAGAGAAAGGGTTAACAATGAATGTCAAGAAGACGAAATTCATGATTATTTCAAAAAAACAAAGATTGAATGCCAACCTGTACATTCACAATAACGAAATCGAACAGGTGCACAAATATAAATATTTGGGAACAAGTTTTAGTAACAACAATGACATCACAGAAGAAATAAAAACTAGAATTGGAAAGGCTCGAGCTGCTTTTGTTAATATGAAGGACATTCTGGGAAGTCATGACATTAACTTAAACCTGAAAATGAGATTGGTTAGATGCTACATCTTTTCGATACTGCTGTACGGAGTAGAGACTTGGACTTTAAACAAGAGCAATACCGATAAACTAGAGGCCTTCGAAATGGGGATATATAGAAGAATTTTGAAAATAGCTGGGACAGACAAAATAACAAATAGTGTAGTTCTTCGAAGAATGAACAAAGAACGGGAGCTGTTGATCACCATCAAGAGAAAAAATTTGGAATATCTTGGTCATGTGATGAGAGGGAAAAAGTACCGATTGCTCCAGTGAAGGGTTACAATTATTCCAAAACGTTTTCGGTCCAGTCGGTCCATAATCAGTGAAACCTGAAAGTTGTGGCCAGAGCGGTCAATCACAAGATTGTCACTCTGGCCGGCCGATAAGAAACAGTTTTATTCTTCTGCTTCTAGTGCCATCTCCACTAATGAAGGTTGGCTATAATCATTGAAAATTTGTCTCTATCTTCTGCTTTTCTTAAGAGCGTCTGTGTGTTCAACCCGGTCCAGTCGCGAATGTTTTTCAGCCAGGATATTTGTCGTCTACCAGGACCCCTTTTTATTTCTATTTTACTTTTCATAATCAGCTGCATCAACTCGTACTTATCATTTCTAAATATGTGCATCAAATATGCTGTTTTTCGCCTTTTAATGGTGGTCAAAAGTTCTCTGTCGCTTCCCATTCTGTGCAACACCGTTTTGTTCAAAATATGGTCGGTTCATGGTATCTTCAAAATTCTTCTAAAAAGCGACAGTTTTATTAACTATCGGGATCAAGTCCTTCTATTACGTTTGTTAAAAGTTCTACCAGTTTGACCGATGTAAGTTTTTGGGCAGTCGCCACATTTAAGTTTGTGTACACCACTGTGTAAGTGCTTTTTATTTTGGCTCTTGTTGTTTTTGATATATTTGCATAAGTTGTTGTTTGCTCTAAAATCTTGTGTTATTTCTTTCTTATTTATGTGTTTGGCTATTTTTGTTGATATTTTGGCATATGTAATCGAGCAGAAGGTACTAGGTTTTTTCTCTGGCGGTGGAAATACTAATTTCAGGCTTTCTTATGTAGTTTTTGATTTAAAATTTTGTTTGTTGTACTCATTGTTTACTGCTACTTGCTTAATGATATTTGATTCTATCTCAAAGTTGTATTTTGACATCGGAATATCTATTAATAATATTAATTGCTGCACTTGTACTTTTAACTTTCCTGCAAAAAAATTGGTCATCGACTTTTCAATATTTTTGGATCTGCTGTCTTCATTTGGAGGCCGGTTACTACCACATTGTTTTCTTTATTCTTTCTTTCTATTTTCTCCACATTCTGCCCCAAGCTGCTTACTTCTTGTTTCATTATCACGTTTTTTTTCTTTACTCTTTCATAATTTGTCTTTTATAAGTTGGTGTTCCTGTTGTATTTGATTAATTTCGTGGGGCATTTATTTCCGCTCCCTTATCATTTCTTTTGTATCACTCCTCATCTCTTCCATTTCATTTCTCATTTCATTCATCAACTCCAATAGTGTATCGATCTTTTAATTTTTGTACTGTTTAACTGTTTAACTGGTATTCTAGTTGTCTTCTGGCTATTTCGAAATACTCACTTCTTTTTTATTCTCATATTCCCTCCTTTTATTAAAACTTTCATCTGTTGAGTCACTATCCATGTTAAATTTATTTTAACAATTTAATTTCATCCAGTTTTAATTTTAATAAAGTCCAATGCCCAATGTCCTGTTCACTCTTACTTGTTTCATCGAAAAAAGCCGGGTCAACTCCGCGAAGCATGTGTTGTCTATCAGAATTTAAATATATAACACTTACCCGATTATATTATATGCTTGGATCAACTATTTACATCAGAATCACTTTACACTAAAACTTTTTAATAAAGTTACTAAAACCACCCAAAATTTCGCAGGTGTTTATTATACACGTATTGCTACCAAGTCTTTAAGATCTACTTACGACTTTAATAATATAATCATTACTTAAATAAATTTATATTTACGTCTGCAATGCTTGTCACTTTGCGTTGAAATAACGTTTTCTAACTAATTATGAAATATTAATTTTTCACTATTTCAGGAAATTCCAACACCATGGAAATCTATTTTTACTTCTCTACCAGTGATGGCTATAATAGTTACTCACTGTGGACAAAATTGGGGATTTTGGACTTTGCTTACTGAAATTCCAAGTTTTATGGAAAATATATTACATGAAAATATATCCTCGGTAAGTTTTTAATATTTGAACGAACTTTCTTTCACTATTTTTTGTATTCTCCTTCATCATTATTTCAATTAATACGACCCTCTTTCAACGAGTTGTATAGGTAAACAGTAGATACTTTTTCAGAATGTTTGCGTTATTGATAAATATTTTTTTACACAGCTTTACACATAATATTCTTCTCTCGCCCATCTTTTGCATATGTTTATATCATAGTAATTTTCGTTTTTATATTTCGTCATTTAGTGTCTTCTTCCATCTTCATCTTCACTATTTTCCGTTGTGTATCTGCAGCTTCTTCTCTCAAACATCATTTCCATTACATTTATTCTGTTTTCCATTGTTTTACTTGTCACCCACGCCTATTAGCCATAGAGTGAGCAGCTTTTAACTATTGTTTTAAAGATTTGATAAAGGTTTGCTTGTAATACCGTCGCTCCATATAATCGAATGTAATTGTCGTGTATCGTCTTACTCTTAAGTATTTGCATTTATTTGTTTGTTTTTATTGAGTTGTTATTTACCTCCAGATCCTCTGCGGTGTTTTCAATATATGCATATATGTATTGTATGAGTTGCGTTTTATCATAGTTAATTTCTAAATCACAGCTTCCAAATTCTTCCTGCAGCTTTTTTTATCATGTAGCCGATGTCGTCTTTGTCTTCTGCTAAAATAATATTTTTTTATTTAGTTTACTGTATCTCAACTACAAGGTTATTGACACTGGGTCAATTTTGTTACTATACATTTTACATTACATTATAATTTACAACGAAGAGAATAAAAGATAAAGTAAAAAAAAAAGAAAAGTATACAAATTCGTTTCTCGAAGGGAATCCAGTACATTTTGAGCAAGTTCGAATTGGCTGAGGATAACGTGTGTAAGACATTGTATAGAGTATTTTTTTTGTTCTTGTTCGTACTTGACACTCTGTGTAAGATACACTTTTCACAAACAAATGATTTCTCCGAAGCCATCAGGTATCCATGTGTCAGCTGCGTATGACCAACTCTTAGCCTGCGAACGATTAATATTTGTCTCTGCTACATAAGATAGGTAGCTGAAAGGTTTCGATGGTAGGATTTTGTGTAATCTTAAGGATGACTTCTTCCATCTATTTTGCCAGGGCTTTTAATTTGGGACCTGAAAAGTCATTTTAGATCTGATGCTAGTTAAACGGATTTGCTGTCTGATTTGGTTATATTTGCTTTTTTTGCAACAGTATCAGTAATCTCATTACCTACAATGCCAACGTGTAAAGGAATTCTGTCTTTAATATAAAGGCAGAAAAAATACTAGTAGTGTGGCTGAAATCTGAGTTCGTACCATTGCCCAAAAAACCAGGAGCAAAAGCTTTTGAAGATTATAGGGCCATAAGTCTAATGAGTCATCTGCTGAAGCTGTTTTTAAATGTCATCCATAAAAAAACATTTACCGGTAATGTGAGGAATAAATTGCGCTTAATCAGTTTTTGATTTGTGAACGCCGTTGTACGAGGGAAGCTTTATTTTAGCGTGCGTATTGTTCAGAAATGTAGAGATGTCAGCTGTAATGTTTTTGCATGCCTGATTGATTACAAGAAGGCTTTCGATAGAGTCAGACATGAACAAACGATGGAAGTGCTGAAGAGGACAGGGATTGACGGAAAATACTTAAAAATAATAGTTAACCTGTATTGGAATCAATCAGCGGTATTTCAAATAGATGGAGAATATACAGATCAGGTCAAAATCTTAAGGGGAGTGAGACAGGGGTGCATAATTTTCACCACTGATATTCAATTTGTACTCAGAGCACATTTTTGAAGAGCTCTAAAAGATATTGATGAAGGCAACTGTCAATAAATGGGAGTCAGATGATACAATATGTTTTCCAATACCATAGGAGGGCTGCAAAACTTAATTAACAGAATAAGGAACAAGTAGAACATATGGACTGGATATAAACCCCAGCAAAATCAAGCTAATGATCATCAGCAAGGAAACACATAATTGGAGCAAATCTGTATGTGAACCAATGAGAATTGAACGTGTCTCACAATACAACTACTTAAGAACAATAATCAATGCGTCGTGGGACAATACCCAAGGGATTAAATGTTGCATCGTAAAGGCAAAAAGTGCATTCTTGACTATGAGTTCTGTGTTTAAGAGCCATGACCTAATGTTATTAACTTATAAAAGTTTAAAAAAAAATTATAAAAATTATAACTATTAAATGTTATGTGTACTCAGTGCTTCTGTACGGAGTAGAAACGTGGACATTGAAGGTGGAAACTCTATCAAAACTTCAAGCTTTTGAGCTATGGTCATTCAGAAGGAACCTGAAGATACCATGGACAGACAAAGTCACCAATGAAGAAGTACTGCGGAGGATGAACAGAACTGCGGATTTGGTCAACATCGTGAAGGGCCGTAAGCTGCAGTACTTAAGACATATAATGAGAAATCAAGACAGATACGAGCTACTTCAATGCATTTTGCAAGGTAAAATTTAAGGAAAAAGGGCCCCAAGAAGAAGAAGAATATCCTGGCTTGCTAACCTGAGAGCATGGTATAGAAAGACCTCAACACAGCTATTTCGTATAGCAACCAACAAAGTCAACATAGCCAGAATGATCGCCAACGTTCGAAACGGACAGGCACCCTAAGAAGAGGAAGACAGGGGGTAAAAGTGGTAAATTTTTCACCAACTGTTGGGTTCTCAAACTTAACATTCTTAGCAAAATTCAGCTTGTGCGTAGGTTCAGTGACAGTTCCGTCTCTGACGACTGGAGTATTAGTCAATCAAGAATTGTATTTTTAATATCCATATAGCAAAGAAGGAGAACTACATAATTTACCTGTTAATTCTTTCTACCTAAACTGTCTACAAATTTGAATTAAATCGTAATTTAATATAATTTCCCCACTGCTTATATCTTATTGACTGTTTTTAATACCTATTTGGATTTTACTATTTTCACATGGCTTTTTTAGTTATAAAGTTATAGTTAAAAGTTTAACTTGTATACATTACTATTACATTATTTATTTCAGAATAGTCTTCTTTCTGCATTACCATACTTCGTAATGTGGTTTATGACGTTGGTATTCAGTCCTATAGCTGACTTGGTCATTGACAAAAAATTCGTCAGTGTAATCACCAGTAGAAAAATTTTCAATTCAATCGGTAAGTACTCGTATTATATTCTTCTTTTTACCAAAAGTGTATTTGGTAAAAGAGAAGCCCATATATTTTGGGCCAAAACAAATAGTTATCTCTACGTGCGGAAAATTTGAGATACTAGAGTTTTTTATGTTAAATGTCTATGCCAGAGTTTCTTAACCTTTTTTAGTCCGCGTACCCCTAGAAAATCAAGCACAATTTTAGGAATCCCCTTAATAAAGAGCACAGGAATAAATATAGAACAACTTATTTAAGTAGTGAAAAAAAATCATTCATATAAAAATTAAAAATAGTCTAAAACATAATGACGGTATTAGATTTTTGTTTCGATACAGTTTCGATACAGATCTGTTCTGAGCAGTGGCATATACCGCTCTGATGAGACCTAACGAGGTCAAAATACGTATAAGCGGCTTGCCGTTGCCCTGTATCGAAACAAAACTCTAATACCGGCATTATGTTTTACTTCTTTACTCTGTTTAGAGTACCAGAAACTGAATTCACTACGAATTTCGACCATGATGAACGTCAGGTGGAATGCATATTTTAGATTTCCTTGCCGAGTAATTTATCAAGCTGTTTGCTTTGCAAGTTTTAGAAGGCACAGTGGTAAACATTTGAATTCGGTTTCGCCAGATAGGAAATCGTATGATTTCTGTTGTTGTTAAAAATATTCTATTCAATTCAAAAGGTCAGATGCTGCTTTTTGGCTACTAAATTTGTAATATTTAGGTTAAAGTTTTTGCTTGATTGTAATCTCAAATTTTATTTTAATTGTAATTTGTTTCTGTATTTACTTTTGAGATATAAAAGAGCAGAAAATCCCTTTTCACAGAGGTATATGGATTAGAAAAGCGGTTAATGTTTCCATGCTTCTTCTGATACTTACTTCTTTATAAACTGTTTTTATATTCACCCAAAAACTTGATAAGGAAGATCCTTTGAAATGACTTTTTAAAGTGGAATCACATGATATTTCTATTAATTGATTTTCCTGTATCGTTGTCCATCCGATGATATCTGAAACATCTGCGTTGAAAAGATCAGCTATTCAGTTTTTATTTCTGTCGGGTTCTGGAAATTAGTTCTAAAAAGAATACCGTAAACCGTAAATCAGAGGTTTTTAATAATTTATTCTTCTACTTGCGTTGGAAACATTTCCCTACCGAAGTCCAAAAACGCTACCAGTGTAGGACAAGGATTATAGTTTTTTTTACTTATATGATTAGTCCAAAGGTCAAGTATTTTATCATAGCTTCTATTTTATCTCAAGCTTTGAAGATGTTCTTATCTCTTTCTTATAGATTTAAGTTCAGCTCGTTAAGGGCACTAAAGATATAAGCCAGCTACCATTAAAATTATTAGCATGTTATTTCCGCTGCTTGCTGAATTCTTTAAAAAAATATTCTGGTCTCATTTTTTAGCTCAAAAACACGCGACACGACTTTGACACGAGACTACTACTGCACCTCATTAAAAAAATTGAATGCTGCCCATGCTTTCACAAATCATACCGAAAATACAAGAATTTAGGGGCCTGGCTTTAATGATATTCATGACCTGCAGTATCTCTAAAACTGTTTTTAATTTATCAGGCATATTTTTGTAGCTAATGCTTATCTATAACTGAAGCAATGATGCCAGATAAAAGAGATAGATTCATATTCATCACGCTCCCCTGAAGTCCTGTTCGTGTACCTGTCTAGCTCGAGCACCATCCGTACTAACTGCCACACATTTATTCCACGGTATTTCATGAATGGATATAAAGTCGTTCAATACTTCAAATATTGCTTTACCTGTAGTATGCAAAGTCAGAGGACTACAAAACAGAAAATTGCTCTCATATAATTGCAAAGCACCAAGACTACCTGCTTTAACACTGTAACAGTATCATCATCATCATCACACAGCTAAATTTGTCCACTGTCGAACATAGGCCTCCTCAAGATGTCTCCACTCTTCTCTGTCCTGTGCAGCTGCGATCCAGTTTGTCACTATTCTTTTAATGTCGTCCGTCCATCTGGTAGGTGGTCTTCCACGATTTCGCTTGTCTGCCCTTGGCCGCCATTCTAAAATCTTCTTTGTCCATCTGTTGTCTCTCTGTCTTGCGACGTGTCCTGACCATTTCCACTTCAACTTCGTAATCCATTTTAAGACGTCTTCCACTCCAGTTCTTCGCCGTATCTCATCATTTCGTATTCGGTCTCTCAAAGTTACGCCAAGCATAGATCTTTCCATTTTTCGTTGTGCTACTTGTAACTTTTTTATTGATGCTTTAGTCAATGTCAGTGATTCAGCTCCATAAGTGAGCACCGGAAGTACGCACTGGTTAAATGCTTTTCTCTTTAGCTTTATTGGGATGTTTTCCTTAAACACGTCTTCTAGCTTGCCATAGGCTGCCCATCCTAAAACTATTCTTCTAGATAATTCGCATGTTTGGTTGTCTCTACTTATTTGTATTTCGTGACCCAGATATATGTATTTGTCAACCGTTTCAATATGCCAGTTTTCTAGTTTCAATGGTCCACTAGGTACTAAGTTGGTCATCATTTTAGTTTTCGCAAAGTTTATTTCCAGCCCTACTTTTTGGGAGACTCGTTGTAGATCTTGTAGCATTTCGTTGGCCTCCTTTAAGTCGTCGGTTATTAGAACTATGTCATCTGCAAATCGTAGGTGGTTCAGAATTTCGCCATCGACACTCAAACCTGTGTTTTCCCATTCTAACATCTGGAATGCATGCTGCATTACGGCATTGAATAGTTTTGGTGACATGTTGTCTCCTTGTCTAACTTCCCTTTTTGGTTTTATTTTTTGAGTAGGGATGTGGAGGTTTATTGCTGTTGTGGCATTTGCATATATATGTTGAATAATGCTGGTATATCGGTAGTCGATTCTACAATCTCTCAAAGCTCTTAAGATAGCTACCATCTCGATAGTGTCAAAGGCTTTTTTATAGTAAACAAATACTAGAACTAGTGGCCGGTTGTACTCTATAGTTTTTTCAATTAGGGTCTTTAGACAAGTTAGATGGTTATTTGTACCATACCCAGGGCGGAAACCTGCCTGTTCTCTTGGTTGGCATGTTTCTAGTTTGTTCTCAATTCTGGCAGTGATAATTCGAGCAAATAATTTATACAGGTGACTTAGAAGACTAATTGGCCTATAGTTTTCGAGATCTGTTTGATCTCCTTTCTTATGCATGAGGAGCGTTATAGAATTATTCCATTCAGCTGGTATTGCTTGGTTTTCTTAGCATATATTGAAGAGCTGCTTGATTGTCCTGATGAGAGCAGAGCCTCCGATTTTTAGCGCATCCGCCACTACTCCATCTTCTCCTGGTGCTTTGTTTTTTTTTTCATTTTCTTTAGAGCATGGTATATTTCAGCCGTTAATATGTCGGGAATATCTTCTGGACCTTGATTCATAATTTTTTGTTCTGTATGTTCTGTCGGGTTTAAGTCCAATAGTAACAGTATAACTTATTGTTATTTAACATTTCCTTCTTATTCCGTATTGATGCTTTGTTTCTAAGTATCGTCGAAGTTTGGCCGGTTTCTTATTACTCACTTCTTACTTCACTTGGCCATCTCAGTCGTCGTCTCTCGGTCAGCCTCGGTCGGATCACGCTTGCTGGGTACGCTCGTTAGCGTAGCGATCACGGACTTTTTATTGTATTTATTAATTAAAATGTCTATAGATCGGAAAGACCAAGGACCCCCTAATACATGCTTGCGGACACCTACTAGTCCGCGGACCACAGGTTAAAAAACACTGGTTTATGCTATACTTTTTATTTTTTTATTATTTGAATTATTTACCAAAACTAATGGATACAACTAAAGCCCTAATACAAGCACGGAAACAAGCAAAATTTGACAATAGACGACGCAAATATTGAAGTTGTAAAACAGCTCTCATACCTGGGCGTACAGATAACTGAGGATGGCAGTGAGTAGGGGGAAATATGGAGAAGGATAATGCTTCCTAATAGAGCTTACCTTTCTCTGTCGCAAGTATTTGGACCCAAAGACATAAGGGAAGTAAAGTTAAAATATATTAAACCAATACAACACAATACAACACATAGATCATGACGCGAAGAAACATGGATCATGGCAGAAAAAACAATAAACCTTATTAATACTTTTGAAAGAAAGATATTGGGAAGTATATTAGGACCTATTTGCGACATTGGTATGTGGAGAATAAGGTTCAACCACGAGATATGTAATTATCACAAAGATATTAAGTTGTTTCTGTCTATTGTATCGTAGGCAACTTTGTAATCAATAAAATTACTTGTGCTGAAATGTTGTATTCATAGCAATTGATCAGGATTTCTTTTAGCATAAAAATTTGATCGGTTGTTGATTTTCCTTTCCGAAATACTTTCTGGTATTCTCCTAGATTCTTCTCTATATATATTTCTAATCGTTTTTTAATTAGTATGGCGAGTACTCTATATATAACCTCTAATAAAGATATTCCTCTATAGTTTGCGCATTCAGTTCTCTCTTCCTTTTTGTGTATAGGAATTATAATCGACCTATTCCATTCTTGAGGTATTTCTTCGGCATCCATACTTCTAGTATTAGCTCACCAAGTTGGTTTATTAAGATCTCTCCTCCATATTTTATGTTCTCTGCCACAATGCCGCTCTCCCCGGGGCTTTTTTGATTTTTCATATCTTTTATTATTTCTTCAATTCTTCTCTTGTGCGCTTTGGTATTTCTTCTATTACTATTTGACGTTTAGGAACATAATAATAGGAACATAATAAATTCACATATTTGGTCTTCGTCCACTATCAGGTTTCCCTGCTTATCTTTTACATTCATCGTTCTTCCCTGATACCCAGTTTTAATGTATTTTACTTCTTTGTAAAAAATTTTTATTCCATTTTTCTTGTAAGTTTCTCCAATGCGCTTTATTTTATCATCCATATACTTTCGTTTCCGCTCCCTTAGGATTATCTTTACCTTTTTTCGTTGTTCGGCATACCTTTCTAGGTCGTCTTGTTTTTGCGATCGTAAACTTTTTATCTCAAATCTAATCTTTTTTTAACTCTGTTCTACATTCGTCATCGAACCAGTGTTTTTTTCTAAATCTTTTTGTTCTTGGTACGTTCTTCGACGTTCCTTCCTTTATAGTGTTTGTCATTTTCAAGAACTTTTGTTGTATGTTACTCACATTAGTAGTACTATTTTATTTGGCGTAGGTTTCTTGAATATCCTTTTGATAATCCTGCGCTAACTTAAATTTTCGCAGTTTTTCAAAATTAAATTTACGTTGCACTTTCTTTTTCCGGTTTATTGCTTTTTAATTATATTCTAACCAAAAAATGATCTGAGTCTACGTCAGCACCTCTACACGTTTTCACATTTGTTATTAAATTGGCGAACTTGTCCATTATCATTTGTATTCAAATGTTTACTTTCACCCACTGTTATATTTTATATATATCTTCTCTTCCAACCTTTGCATTGTCGTCGTCTATAATAATTTTAATATCTTGTCTGGGCATTTCTTCAGACCATGACTCTAACATTTCATAAAATTCATCTTTCACTTCTTCTCCTTTTTCTTCTGTTGGAGCATGTATATTTATCAGCGATATCATGTTCTCTTTTCCTTTAATTCTAATTGCACACATTCTGTCATATTTTACTACGAATCGTTTTACCTGCTCCACGTCTTCATGTACCAGAAAACCCACTCCAAAACTCCTATTATCGCCTCTACTTATTGTTTCCAGTTAAATGTTTCTCCTGTATTGCTATGATGTGTATTTTATATTATTTTTTAAGTTTTTCAATTAGGTTAATTAATGCTCCCTTCTCGTATACTCCTCGTACATTCCATGTCGGAATATTTAGGTACATATTCGTATTTTTTATTTTGCTATTTATGTTCAAACTCTTTTTCCTGTTCATCGCTAGGGTCCGTTGGCATAATGGGCCATCTTTTTCTTTTTCCACTACTATATGCCGTTTTTTGGGTCCATATTTCTAGAATTTTCTCGTTTGAAAGTACCATGTCCGGCCCGTACCCATTTTATAACATCCCCAGTTAGTTTTTTATACCCTATCTTCACATGTTTACCTTCAGCTCTTAAATGATTGCCTTTATTTACAATTTTATGCCTCATGTGTCTTTCTTTTTCGGTCAGGTCATCGTTGATGAAGATCTTTTCTCCAGTAAGAAATCTGAGTTTGCTTTTTTCTTTCATTACCCTAATTGTTTCGCCATAATCCTTTATTTGTACCAGACATACATTGTTTTGTAGCTTCATTGCAGATTCTATCTCGACATCCTCTTTTAGGTGCTTTTGTATAAAATCTTTTACGTTATTTTTTAAGAGTGTTTCATCTGTTGTGGCTCCTTAATTCCAGAAATCAACAGAAGAATCAAACTTTCTTGGGCATCTTTTCGTAGAAATGCAGTTATATTCAAATCGTAGATGCCACTCCATTTGAAGAAAAAAGCATCCGATCAGTGTATACTACCGATCATGACATACGGCTGTGAAACTTGGACGCTAAAGAAAGATGTAATATCGAAACTTAAAGTCACTCAAAGGTCAATGGAGCTATGCATGATAGGTATCACAAAGAGAGATCTAAAAATAATAGAATGGATCAGACAGAAATCTAAAGTCACTGATGTAATCCACAGAATTAAATCTTTAAAATAGCAGTGGGCGGGATATTTAGCGAGAAAAACTGACAATAGGTGATCCACTAGAATTACACTGTGGTATCCAAGAGGCGTCAAAAGACCAAGAAGGCGTCCAAATGTAATATATAACTATGACATAATGAAAAAAAGGTGGTACAACATGGCAAAGAAAAGCGAATATTAGAACAATTGTGGGCTGAAATGAAGAATGACTATGTAAGGGAGATACACATAACCGGTAGAATATGCTAAAAATGATGATGATGACGATTATTACAACTATAAAATAAGCTCTTTATTTGACTATTAATATTACTTGTTCTTATAATTAATTTTTAGGACTGGCATTTCCAGCTGTGGCTTTAATATCGTTATGTTTTATTGACACCAAATGGAGTACGATATCCCTATTGGTTATTGCCATGGGATTCAACGCTGCCCAGTATTCCGGTTTTAACATTAATCATATAGACCTATCACCTATTCATGCTGGTACTCTCATGGCTATCACAAATAGTTTTGCTACAATTTGTTCCATTTTGGCACCATTGGCTGTAGATTTGATCAGAATTATAAGTGGTTTTGAAGAGGTAAGTTACTGTAAAGTAACATATATATGTTAGATCACTAATCACGTATTTACTTTTTAAAAAAGAACTTTGTTTGTTACAAATTAAATATTAAATAATAGTACAAAATTAAATTAATTTAAAATGACTACAATAACTGGACTGGTCGAAGTTGCAGCTAAGAGTGGTTCCGGCATCTGAAAATGGTAATTTATAGGTTTGGTATGAAGTGCTGAATCGCTGTTCCCATGAATATTGGCCAACGGTTCGTACAAAGTTCTACTGCGTGCTCAGCGGTTTCTATGGGAATGGGATGATGAAATCTGAAGTCGGCGAACTTAAGCTAGTTCAAGGTTAATATTTTCTCATATAACAGCTCCCCTTATTAGTGAAAAGTCAATGCCATTGCTTTGACTTTTACAGAGTAATTGGTGTTTCTGCTTTGCTTTCTTGTTGGACATTGGGTCTTCTTCTGAAGGAGGTTAAGCTTTGAAGTTTCTGTCTAATGGAATTTCTGCGTGGTAATGAAGTTGGAGGCTGATCCTGGGACAAGGAGATTGCAATTTTTGGGAATATTTTGGTTCGGTATTTGCAGAAAAGGTATAAATAACTAGGATAATAATCAGGGATAAGGTTGATATAGTGAATAAGGGTAGATGTTTCTCAATGAATGATTGGCTCATAATATGGTCCAGTTCTTCTGAATATTGGTCCAATTTGTGTTGTGCAATATTTAAGTCATCTACGTTGATCTTACTGAGTTTTAGTGGTTTCAATTTTGATAGGTGACTTTTTGTCTCAAAATGATCACAGCATCTGTAGGGTACGTTAACTGGGTGACTTCTATACGTGATATTTGTATATTTCTCAATTTGGTCTCTAGCACGAATTCTGGTACTGCCGATGAATGCAATACATTCGGGAATTAATCTCAAGATTGAATTTGTTTTGATTATTTGTGTAGTGACGTCTTTTCTTGCACATTTGATTGTTACTGGTAATGGATCGGTCAAGGTCGAAGATCAGCTGACCGACCAAGTAAAGATCATGCGAGGAGTATGGCAAGGATGTGTGCTATCGCCGACTCTTTTCAATATATACTCTGAGGAGATTTTTACTGAAGCCCTCACAAACCTAGAGATGGGAATCAGAGTGAACGGTGAATACATCAATAATATCCTCTACGCCGATGACACTGTGTTACTAGCAACCAGCCCATCGAGCAAAAAGACAATAGAGGGAATGTAAAGGTAGTGGGGGCAAACATATTGTTAGACAGGAAGTGCGATCTTTAGAGGCCACATTAAACAAGGAAAGAGAGTCTCTTTCCTTGTTTGACATCAAATTTAGTTGGGTTATGTTATTGTTTGTCCCAAATGTCACATGAAATCTTATTTATATTGAAGTTTTTTAACAATTGTGTCGCATTTTAAACTATTATCGTTAATAATTAATTAAAACTTTCTCGTCTAAGACACATTTTGCGAAATATTATATAGCTACTGTTGATAAGTGTTGGAAAATTTAAATTTGGCGCATTCGCATTTCCGGATATGTCCGCCATCAGAGGCCACTTTTTTGGTCTCCTTTTCATAAGGATTAGATTCCCTCTTTTGTCTTATTGCTCGATGAACCAGCCTAAACGATCTGCAGGCCTTACTAGACCGAGTGCGAACTGTGAGTGTAACATACGGACTGAACCTTAATATTAAGAAAACTAAATTCATGGTTGTCAGCCGTACAAATTTAGATCCCGGGGCATTAATGGCAGGTAGCAAAGAGATCCAGAGAGTCGACAAATTCACTTACCTCGGAACTACCCTCAACTCACAATGGGACTACGCTCAAGAGATTAGATCCAGAATTAAAATGCACGGTCTACATTTATTAAGTTGAGATCCTTGCTGTGTTGCAGTGATCTCAGTTTGGGAACCAAGATGCGGATAGTGAGGTGCTACGTTTTTCCAGTGTTACTATTTGGAGTTGAAGCCTGGACACTGACGCAAGCCACTGAAAAACGAATCGAAGCCTTCATGATGTGGATATACAGAAGGATACAAAAATATCTTATGTGGACCATGTCACCAACGTTGAGCTCCTACAGCGCATGACAAAAGAAAAAGAAGTGTTTAATTTAATTAAACAACGTAAGCTTGAGTACCTCGGCCACGTGATGTGGAACGAAGAAAAATATCGAATTCTTCAACTCGTTATGCAGGGTAAAGTATTTGGCAGAAGAGGACCGGGACGCCGTCGTATCTCGTGGTTGAAAAATCTCGGACAATGGTTTGGGATGACCTCAGCGGAGCTGTTTCGCAGAGCAGTCAACAAAACCATGATAGCATTGATGATCGCCAACATCCGGACCGGATAAGGCACTGAAAAAGAAGAAGAATGGATCGGAAATGGTTAGTAACCATAAATTTCGGTCAATTTCTTGTACATTGTAACCTTGTGCCAAGAGCATGGACATCTGGCAAGTTTTTGGTAAGTTGCTGAGATGTTTCAAAAGCTGGTCTTCACATATAGCATCTGTGTCTATGGGATACAGAAGAATGTCTGTACACATTCTTTGGTTTTGACTGATTTGTTTGCATTTTTTCGGTGTCCATGGGTAAGACATATGAAATTGAATCATCATCTCGCGCTTTGTATTTATGAACAGTTGAAAGTATATGATGAAAACCAATTTGATTATCTAATATTGGTATTGAATATAATTGATACAAGGTGAATATTTCGGGATCAACTAACGGAATTTCGAGAACGAAAACAATTTTTGAATCAAGCAGATAAGCTTGTAGTTTCGTTATATCAATATACTGAGCTATATTTGACATATAAGTGGATAGAGGCAATACGTTATTTTGTAATAACTGTGAGATTTCTTTTAATGCGTCCATTAAGTCTATGGACGAAATAATAGAACTATATAGAATTTGCAGGCGAGAGAATGTGATAGAATTCAGTATATAATTTAAATAATTTTCTAAAAATACGTAGCTTTACATTAAGGACTCACATAAATCTAGTATTTGTAATTGTGCTTGGTAAAAGGAGATGTCATTAATAATGTCCAGAAGTGTAGTCTCGATAGTTTTGAAGTCTTTGTTAAAAGTTTCTTCGTCTATTTGCAATTTTTGAATTGTAGTGTTGAAAGTTCTTATAACTGAAGTGGTAACAGATATTTGATTTTTTTAGGAGATTTTAGTAGTAGATGGAGCACTCATTAGTCCGAATGGCATGCGCATAAATTCGTAATGTCCATTTTCGACCGAAGAGGCCGTTTTCTGGATGTCTTGTGGCTCGATTTCGATCTGGTGAAATCCAGACGCTAAATCTAGTGTTGTGAAGTATTGGCATCTTCCTAGTTGGTCCAATAGTTCTGATATTTGTGGTAGAGGATAACGGTCTTGTACTGTGAGTTGGTTAAGTTTTTGATAATCAATAAGAACTCGCCATTTTTGTTTTCCTGACTCATCTAATTTCTTCGGTACGACCCAGACTGGACTCGACCAGGGCGAGACGCTTTTCTGGATTATTCCTTCTTTTAACATTTTATTAATTTGCGTCTTTACCTCTTCCTTATGTATTTGAGGATATCTATAGGATTTAGTGAAGATAGGTTTAGCGTTGTTTGTTTCGATTTTGTGTTTGATTTCGTTTGTGAAGGTGAGTTTGTTGCCGTCGACATAAAATATATCTGCATATTCAGTACATATATCTAGAATTTGTTCTTGTTCTTCTCAATTTAGATGATCAATTCTTAGTTGTTCTTTAATTATTCGTGTTCTATCTAGTACTATTCTAGTTCTATCTAGTATTTCGTCTACATGGACTAATGCATGAGATAATCTTACTTTTTCTATTTCTTGAGCTGATAGTATGGCATCTGTATTTGATAAGTTGCATTTTTAGTTTGCATATTTGTTCGGTCCAGCTGTCAATGGCAATTCTGTTTTTTCCTTTTATTCGTTTTCTCTCCGGTCTTTCAAGATTTTTGTCTTGATCTCGGTTTTTTATGATAGTGTATTTTTCATTTATAGGGTTTTGGTATTTTAAATTTGATTCCTGTTTATAATCTGATTTAATTTTTATTTTAGGTTCGTTTTGTCTTGTTTCTGTAGGGTGTGTCTGTGTTTTGTCTTTAGGAGGTGTGTTTGTCTCATGTCCTACTTTGTGAAGGGTGGGAGTTTTAAAATGTGTATGCAACTGTCGGGATTTGAGATCTATTACGCATTCATAATGATCTAGAAAGTCTAGGCCTATTACGCCATCGAAATGAATGTCTAAATTGAAAATAAAGACTTTGTGAGGATTATCGTCAGTGAAAGGAATCAGGACAGATTCTGTTATTAATAATTTTTGATCGGTTATACCTTGAATAGTAACGTTTTCAGGAAATCTATTATGATAATTGCGTGCTGTGTTTTCTTTGAAAACAGTGATTCCAGCACCTGTGTCGATTAAAAGTTTAAAAGTGTTGGTAGCATCGTTAATGTAATATAAATTTTTGGAACTCATTGTATGAAATGGGGTTACATGAATGTCTGTTCGAGAAAGTTGAGATCCGGATGGAAGTTGTCCAAGTTGAGTGCTTGAATTTGTTCTTGGATATTCGTAATATCCGTTGAGTGGTTCGTATGATTGGGAGGATGATTTTGATTCTAAAGTGAAAGAAAATCCTGATAATTTTGAGTGTTATTGGTTTCGTAAAAGTTATCAGTTTGTGGATTATTTTCTGCATAATAATCTGTGTCATAGTTTTCATAGTTATCGGTATTATAATAATTATCTGTGTAGTAATCATCTGTATAATAGTTAGTCGTCATTTCATCAGGGTATTCGTTTAAAACATGTGCCCGTTGTAAGTTTGGGTGTCTTTGAATAACAGAAGGACGATTTTGATTTTGAGATGAAAAGGAAGGTCTCTGTTGGTTGAAATTTGGATTGTTGGAAGAATATTGATTCCTATTAGGGTTCTGATTGTTTTGATAGTTGTTAGGTCCATTATTACATTG